CAAATTTCAAAAACTAAGACTTAGGACCCCCTCAGAATCTAAAAATCTAAGACCTAAGACCCCCTCCAAGCAAGGAATTTTTGGGTGGCAAAAATTAAACCTGATGTTGATTTAAGTTTCAGATTAAAGCAAACTCCTGCCCAAAGGTTCCTGACCATGAAATTCTGGGTGCCCAGCACTTAAGCTTATATGAAAAAGTAAGTTTTTCAAGTCACCCAAAGGGAAAAGTTAGTCTCTTGTGGCCAGGCACTTCTAGAGCACAGCCCTGTTAGGTCGTAGTTTTTGAGATTCAGAGGGGATCCTATAGTTTTTGAGATTCAGGGGGGATCTTAGGTCTTAGTTTTTGAGATTTGGAGAGGGTCTTTGCACTTAGTGTTTGAGATTTGGACACCCATCTGGTCATGCATGAGTTAATGGTGCTATTGCTTATAAGAGATGTAAATGTATGGTGTTTGAGGCAAGCCCTATTTGGGGTCCACTCTAAGAACATGGTATTTCAGTTATGGGGGCTTAATAAATGATGTGCTCAAAGTTCAAAGTTATAATCATATTTGATATATTTGATTCCTCTAGGTAGTTTACAAACTGATAGATCTTGGCTATGCAAAGGAACTGGATCAAGGAAGTCTGGCTACCACTTTTGTCGGGACTCTAAAATATCTGGTATTTAACTGGTGAAATTGTTTCTTGACAAGGCTTGAATTGAGTTTTAGAATAGATTTTTCAACGATTGATATCAGAAATCAGATATATCCCACCTCCAATTGACAAATTACAGTGTTTAATATTTGAACTAGTTTAGGAGGATGAGAGTTATTATTTCAAAATAAGAACTTCTGAAATTTAATCCTTTTATAGACTTGCTTGACTTGCTTGCATTTCATTTTAGTGAGAATAAATTAATTAAAGCGAAAGTTACCTGAATGCTTACCTGAAGCTATTTGACTCCAGGATGAATTGCTTAATATGATTTGCTCAGCATTTGTCTTCATTTACGAAAATGTGTGTTGTTTAGTTATTACTGTGTTTTTGATGTCCACTTTTGTTTCCCTTTGATTCACAGGCCCCTGAACTGCTTGACAAGGTGCAATACACAAAAACGGTAAGACAAATTTACTAATAGCTTAAACATAAGATATCTTGTCCAGCTCACATTGTATCTTTTCTATCAGGACTAAGTTTAGTTTTCCTCTCTCCCTTCCTTCATTTATTTTTTTGTCAATTTTCTTTCTTTCTTTTTTATATTCCCTTCCTTGATCCTACATGTACATTCATTCTTTAGTTTACTTGCTCATCCAGTAAATGATTCAGGTAGTACATTTGACAGTACTAGGAGGATTCACTGAAGTGAGTGGTTGTTCAAGACCAGAGCTAAAACAGATGTAGTCAATAATAATATTTAACGTTAACTATTGCAGGTGGATTATTGGAGTTTTGGCACACTCTTGTTTGAATGCATTACTGGAATGCGGCCTTTTCTTACCGAACTATCTCCAGTCCAGTGGTATGAAGAATTTATAAACTGTAAATCAGACTCTGGTTATTTCATCTTTGATGGTTCTGTCAGTTAAAAGTTGTCTCACATTGTTACACAGACTTGACTTAGGTTAAGTTTATTTCTAAAGCGGTTTGCCCCAGTCAATTTTTACATCGATTTTTACCTACGCTGTGCACTGTTACTTGGTGAAGGTTGCACATCACAACAAGGGAAATAATTTATTTAATTTATTTCATATTCATATTCCCTGAGACACTGTGATTTATGAAGGAATCGTGAGAACTTGTATTGTTATAATGGCTGCTGACACGTTTAAGCAAGTTGGCATTGGGAGCACAGCACTGCCCTTGACTGATTTATAAAATAGCTCTTGTTGATGACATTTTGGTTCTAAAGAATTTTCGATAGAACCTAAACCAGCCACTAGGCTGGTTCTGAATGTGACTGGATCCGTTGTACCACAAACAGTGGTCAAATGTGTAAAAATAATCCATGTAATAAAATTTTATGTGCAGTGGTTTCTACATCATTTAGTTTCATTGNGCTAGTCCCTCAAAACATAGCAAAAGAATCAAGTTAAGTCGTTAATATGACAGGAGAAGTGTTAAAATACCGAGAACAATTTGGCGTAGAATAAGGAGCTGCAATATTGAGTATTTTGGGAAGAAGCTTGCCGAGTGGCTGTAGTCAACTAGAGCTGAAGAGGCTGAAGCCCTCTGTGCCACAAAAGCCCTGTCCAAATGCGAAAAAGTTTGGCAACCAAATGCAATCAAGTATTGTGCACTGAGTGGGCTAACGGTATCAAAGATATACAATGTTTAATAAAGTGTTTGACGTCTTTCAAATTTTATGAGACAAAATGAACAGAAAAATGTTTGGTCGCCAAACAGTGTTTGATCATGTTTGGTCGCAAAACATTTCGCCTTTGGACAGGGCTCTAGGTACTGATAGGATAGCATGAGGTCAAAGCTTGGGTAGACTGAGATACATTGCAGTTGGTTCTAAAGGGTTTCCAAGTCGCTTTGACTGTCTCACTTTGTTTTGCGTCTAAACATTTTTGTGACCATTTATACATGCATGTTTACACAGGTGACAGGATCTTTCAACAAGCAGGCAGTATTTTTATTTTATAAACATTGTTAGAAGAGATGATTATATTAAATTAAGCAAATAGAAATGTTTTTTACATATACATACTAGGTGATGGAATATGGAAGAGAAAGGAAAAAATCAAGGGAGGGGTGGGTGGAGGAAAGATGTATTGGGTCCGGTGGTTTTGGAACAGTTACACTGTATGAGAACAAGGTAAGTGCATAGATCTTTGATAAGTTGTCTGTAACCATAGATAATCTGGACACTGAGAGGCACTGTCAGAATGAATCATCTCGCACAACCAAGAATGCAACACAGTGAGCTGAAACAATACCTCTGAAAAAGACAGCAATATTGGACATTGAATGCAGTAGTGACCATTACGTTGTGATACAGCCATGGCTAGTTCTTGGTGTAAGGCCTAGTTCACACTAGCAACATAATGACATATAACAACATAATCGCTTTTGTCGGTAATGTGAACATCGACATAAGGACAAGGACAAGGTCAGTTGTTTTCCTTATGTTGTTATGTCCATAACTGTAATGTTGCTGTTATGTCATTATGTCAGAATGTTCACACTGCAAATCGTTATCTTTTTTATGTCATTGTGTTGCTGGTGTGAACTAGACCTAAGACTTGACCATTGTATCCTTGGAAACACCCATCATAACAAATCATAACTAAATTATTGTGAATAAGGTCTTTTCCTTAGCTTCTTGAGACTATCAATAATGTTTTCTCTGTAATTACTTTGTATTTTAGATTACCAAGCAACAGATTGCCCTTAAGAGATGTCGCATGGATTTAAATGCTCAAAACAAGAAGCTATGGCGACAGGAAGTTGACATAATGAAGAGACTGGATCACCCAAACCTTGTGTCAGCTAAAGATGTTCCAGCACCACTGGATGTCAGTGTTGATGAACTTCCTCTGTTGGCCATGGAGTTTTGCTCTGGAGGAGACTTGAGAAAGGTCAGTTACAGTATGACCTTCTAAAACTGTCTAATGCATACAAAGAGCTAGTATATAGATTTATTATACATTGTAGTCACCATCTGTCTACTCATTGGCTAAAAGCCTACAGTTAATTCTGGGAAACAGCGCAACCTACAGCAAAGTCCAAGAGTGTACCCCCAGAGGCACAGCCTTACTTTCCAATCAGAGATGAGCTTATCGTGGACCATGGAGTCATCTTGAAAGGCCTGAGAGTTGTGGTTCCACAGACCTTGCGTAAGGAGTACCTTAGGCAACTCCACAAGGGGCATCCTGGAATGGACGTTAGAAAGAGGAGAGCAAGAGAAACCGTGTATTGGCCTTCTTTGATGCTTGATATCGATTCCAACGTAGCGTCGTGCCAGCCTTGCAACAGTGCTCAACCCCACCAGCAGAAAGAACCGCTTCTCATTCACCCGGTTCCAGACCTCCCTTGGTCCTTTGTGAGCGCAGACATATTCGACTGGAGTGGACTGCGGTACCTGATACTCGTTGACTCCTACTCCAGTTGGTTTGAGATGAGCACTCTCAGCGACTTATCGTCTAGAAGCGTGATCAGGAAGATGAAACAACATTTTGTTGTTCATGGAATTCCATCCAAGTTGCTAACGGACAATGGTCCACAATTTGCAAGTGGGGAATTCAGAAGCTTTGCCAGCGAATGGAGCTTCGAGCATGTTACTAGCAGCCCCTACTTTCCTCAGTCCAATAGTTTCGCGGAGAATGCACTCAAACAAGCCAAGAGCCTGCTTGAGAAGTGTAAGAAAGATGGTTCCGACCCCTTGCTTGGCCTTCTTAACCTCAGGAATGTTGCAAGGGATCAAGTCCAAGGCTCTCCTGCTCAGTGGTTGATGTCGAGGCGTACCTGATGTGTCCTTCCTGTTGCGAGGAAACTGCTTATTCCAAAAGCACTCAACACCAGGCACGTCTCCTCACATTTGAAGCTTAAATGCCAACAGCAAAAGTCATACCATGATCAGCATGCCAAACCTCTCCTGCCTCTCCGTTCACAGCAAGTTGTGCGACTTCAGACTGACAGAGGGTACCAGAAAGTAGGCGTTGTCAAGCAACCCGCTCCGCAGCCACGGTCGTACGTTGTGGAAGCTGAAGGAAAGGAGTACTGTGAAAACAGAAGACAACTCCTGTCCGTTCCAGAACCGGCTCCTGCTAAACTTACTTGCCCTGCAGCGACCGATTACGACGTACGCTTTGTTTCTTCCTCCCCTGTGGTGCCACCTTGTTCCCAGTCTCCACCTGAGCAGTCTCCTGTGAACACGCCAACCGGACCTAGTGGTCCACCCGAGCCACATCCTCAGAGATCTCCCGTGAAGACTCCAACAAGACCCAGTGGCCCAGAGGGATGTGTTACGAGATATGGAAGGACGGTTAAACCAAATCCAAAGTTCCGAGACTTTGTGGCCTGACAATTATTTTCACTTTCTTTGTTATTCACTTTGCTGAAACTGCATGTATTTAACTTGCAAAGGGAGGTGTGGAACGAGCATGTGAATGTATGCGTGTGGAATGTGTGTGTAATATGCTAATTAGTTTCATAACTTGGGTGTGTAACATTTTATCAGTTAGTCAAATAAATGGACTTCTCGAGTGAAGGTCATCGCTTGAAAATTACAGGTTGTGCATGCAATGCATTTCCAAGAGCAATGTCAAGTTCATTGATCATAATCAAGGTCTTGAAAATAAACTGTGTTCTCCAGGATAATGCGTTTGTCGTTATTTTCTTTTAAACCATGTATAATAAAACAATCATTAGATTCGGTTTTTGTGATATCCGGAATAATCAAGGTCTCAATTAGTTTTATCAGCTGAAGCCGAAGGCTGAGGCTGATAACACTTACCTCGACCTTGATTATTCCAGATATCACAAAATACTCATCCAATAATTGTTTATTAGCTAAGCCTAAAAGTGGAGCTCCATTTATTACATAAGTTAAAGACTCTCTGTCAACTGGCATGCATTGCGCGCATCGTCTGAGGTTTCATGTTCTATGTAACCTCCAATTTGTTCTTTAAGAGGTTGAAGATGACCCAAGATGGTATCTGAGTCCATCTAATAGACCAATTGCGATATATTAAAATTTAGCCTAACACAATAGACCTCAGCACGAGGCTCTGGGGAATAAACCCCACAAACTCTGTAGTTATTCTCCAGAGCCTCGCACTGGGGTCTATTGCTTTAGGATGAATTTTAATATATCGAAATTGGTCTATTGTCAGACTCTTAATTTGACCACAGCAAGCTTCCATCTTATACATGTATATTGATATAGTTATGTACTTAATTATGATTTATTTTAAATCCTTAGGTACTAAACTCCCCAGAAAGTTGCTGTGGGCTGAAAGAAAAGACAGTTTTGAAGATTGCCTCAGATGTTGGTGTGTAATGTTATTTTTTACAATAACTGTCTAATTTCTTGCACACTGATTGGCTCATTTTTATCATCAATAAGGGTACAGACAGATAAAATTTTAATCTATGCAAGCTTTCAAGTTCAACTTTCAGCTGACAAACTGTCAACTTTTTAACCAATGAGATTTTAAGGACTTTTTTTAAGTAGCCAATGAAAAAGCGAGAAAAGCTATTGATATTGTTCACATCCTTTTGAATAAAATTCACTTATCTTTGTTTACAGCAAGTTTACAGTGTCTTTTCCCCTCATTTATTCCAGGGATTTGACCATTTTGGGGTCTTGTTATTGTAAAAAACGAATTGATGTCAGTTTTTTAATACATCTGTCCTCTTATTGACAATAAATTGTGTCATAACATTGTCAAAGTTTACTGTGGAACCACTCGCCCGCGGCCCGTGGTTCCACAGCCACTTTGACAATGTTATGACGCAATTTGTTATCAATAAGAGGACAGATGCATAAAAAACTGACGTCAATTTGTTAAATTAACAATTATTCCACGATGGCATGTTGGATATGAGTTGGCTATATAATCATCTCATATCCAACAAGCACAAGTGGAATAATTGTTTTATTAAAAATGCCCCCAAAATATAGAAAACTAATTAAACTAATTAGTAAAAACAAAAATGGCCTAAAAATCACATGACTGTATGCTTTATACCATATTTGTGGAACATGGTATGATGGCTCATTTATAACCCATGATGGCTAAGCCAATGAAAACTCTCGAATTGCATTATTTAATGATCCAGTTTTTAATAATTTAATGTTATTCATAGAATAACACAGTTAGTACATACATCATCTTATAATACATGTAACCTCTTGCATCTTATTGTTGGGAATCGATCCACTGATATTTCATAAGAAGTCATTGAAAATAACCAGATTGTCCCAAATGATCAATCATTGATTATAATCAGATGAGTCTGCTGATCAAGTATAATTTCTCCATATGTTCCTTAAATAAGTAGCACTGGGGATCTTTTCTTGTATTCTATAAGTCTAAATGTTTCCACACTGTGAACCTGTCATCTCCAGGATACTTGCAGAAGTCAAAATCAATGTCCACCATGTTGAAATCATAAGCTTCATGTAGACAAAGCAAATGTGCCATATACCAGCTGTGTCACACAGAATTTACCAACTGGACAATAACCAAATTCATATTGGAAGACAGGTCAGGCTCAGCTCAGGTGGAATTCTGTCAGTCAGCTAATGTAATATAATGGAGAGACCTTTTCAGTTGTTGACTAGGCCAAGTATAAGGCCAGGTGATAGTTAACAAAAATGGCTTGCATGTTTGTAGAAAACTTATTAGCTGAAAGAAAGCAGAGGGCTCAAGATGACATAGACAATTTTCGAATAAGAAGTGGCAGCTCTTAAGCATGAAATAGATAAAATTTGGATTTAATGATCATATGAAGCATCCTTGGTGTTCTTTTATTTATCATACTTTAGCTGCTGCAGTGGAATTTCTTCATGGCCACCGCATCATTCACAGAGATCTAAAACCTGAAAACATTGTTATAAGTCATGTGGATAATAAGGTAATACAGAGCTGGATGCTTTAGAAGCATATAACGTCTAGCCTTGAGGGATTAGGAGTGAGTTTTGTTTCTTCACTGTTTGCTATGGGGCCAGGCCAGTCTTAATCATTCTGGTTTCCAAACTTCATTCTACATTATTCTGGCTTGCAGAAAGCACTCACATTTTTGTGAGTCTAATAATGGTGACCAAAGACCTAAGATCCAAGGTCTAAGACCCCCTCCAAATCTCAAAAACAAAGACNTGTCATGAATCTTGCTTGCATTATTCAAAATCAATATGTTTGATGTTACATTCTAATGAAAAAGCACACCACATAATTTGTTTGGCTAATCAATCTACCTGACAGTGTATGTCAATATCTCAAATACCATCTTTACTATAGGAGTGCTTATTGGAAGTGGGTATTTATCGGAAACGGGTTGCCTATTAAAAAAACGGTGCAAAGGGAGAAGTGTGTATTAAAAGGCGGAAGGCACAAATATGTAATCATTATCATGGTGGTTGGACTCTATTTTCTTCCTGGTTCTGTCTCTAGCTGCATGTAGGACATAGTCCAACCAAATGTTTGGGAGTATCTAAAGCGTTGTTTTGGTACATGGCAACAGGTTGTCCTTCTTAGGTTAGACTACCAAATAAAGTCAGCAGGCATGCCACCACTTAGAACGCCTCCTAAGACGGATTTGAATTTGATTTTATGAGGCTGTCTCATTTGTGTTGATATACAATAGTCCACCGTGTTGCACCGTGGTGCACCGTGGCTTGCATTATGCATGACATTCCCTGTTACTGTATTTAACAAACTTTGTCATAATGAAATAAATATATAAAGCAAATGTAGCGCTGTACAGGTTCACTAGTGCCTTGCTGCATGTTACGATTCTGTAGTTTGTTGCACTCTGCTGCAATTGCTGACTTACATTTGACTTCGTTTCAGAGGAAATACAGTTCTCTTCTGTTCTGCCGACTCCCAATTCCCTCTGTAGGTAAGTGGCGTTTGCCTGCCATCATGTCAGGGAAGGAGCTTTATGATCCCGAATGATTGAAATAGTATAACACTTTTTTCTTTCGTATCAGGCAACTTCAAGACAAGTTTGTTGCCCTTCTTCGACTGCTGTTGTTGTGGGACCCTCAAGCACGTGGAGGATCAATTCTTGAAAGTGGCAAGAAGGAGTGCTTTGATGTGCTTGAAAAGATCATCAATACTGTGGTAATTCTTGTAACTGGCAATTTCCAGTGACTGAATAAAATGTAACAGCGACCTAGTTTCTTTAAAAGCCGTAAGGGTTATGTTTAAACGTAGTGTTATGAATTTCTTAATACACGGAACTGGCTTGTTCATTTTGTAGATAGTCCGTGTATTCTTAGTCAGCTCAGCAGTGGCGATTCCATTTGAAGTATTACCAAGTGAAACGTAAGTTTTGTTTCATTGATTGTTGTTCAAATTGCAGGAGAGCAAATTGTTTTCACAGGCATGTAAATCTTGTTGAACTTCTCAGTCAGAAAAAAAATCCTCGAGAAAGTCAAATCGGACAGGCAAAATCGTTCTCGTAGCCGGTCTCTCTGCCTGCTTCTCATTCCATAAGGCCAATTGAATTCGCGTCTAAGACGTTTCAAGTGAAAACGGCTTGACTTTGCATGAAAATGAACGTCCAGGTTAAACTAAAATTCACATGGAGTCTATGGATGGTTTTTCACCAAGAATCGTCTTGACGCAGAGGCAAAATGCAACTTGGAAATGACCTATTGCGAATCTGTTTTCAGAACAGATGTCTTTTACGCCTTGAGTAGAACAGTGCTTGTGAATGAAAGGAAAGTTTAAATTTATCTTATACCAGAACGGACGTGAAGCAGTTATCATGCCACAACTCCATGAAACAAGGTTGAGAAGTTTTTGTAACCTAAGTTGTTTTTCTTTTTTGTTCTTGTTTCAGGATAGAGGATCTGCAAGTTAAATTATCTGAGGCAACTGGAGTCGATGTTAAGGAGCAGGAATTGTTGTTGGCTTCAGGGCAGGCTGTTAAGCCAAATACACTTGTCATGGATTGCATTAAGGATGATCAGGTCAGAAATAATGAAACTCTTCGTTATCAGTGTAATTGCTGTTGTTGTGTTTATTGTTTATGTGGTATTGTTGTTCACACTATAAGTTGATTTTAAGTTATGACAACTGAATAGATTACTCGCGATTTCACAGTAAAAGTACAATAAAAAATAAATCACTTTATTTAATTGTCGAAGTGTTTAGCACTATTGTGCTAATTGTGGACACTGAAATAAGAAAACAAATATTGTAAATTGGTAAATTGAACACAAACTTGTTAAAAATCCCAACTGGCGGGAGGTTGACCAGTTGGCTATTTACAAAGCGTGGAGGAGTTGACTCTTTGACCACCAGGCACAAATCCATCTAGTGGCAGGGAGAAGGACTTGAACTCGGGACCTCCAGATTACAAATCCAGCACCCTAACCACTAGGTCACGCCGCCTCCACAGTTCACTTTTAGATCCTCTAGATATTGTTACCTCAATCTCTCTGCCCTCATCGCACCGCCCACGTGGTCTTGTCCAGATTTTTATTGTTGTAAATAGTGAGAGGGACTGATACTGAAAGCCTTGTGGTTTATTCGTAGGTTCTCTCGCTACTTCATGTCTCAATAATCTTCTTGTATGTACCTTTTTCAATGAAACAAACGAACTCTCTTTCAACATGGATATGTTATCAAAGACATGGGAGACAAACCCTTTCAACGAGAGAACATTCTGTCACCAAAACAAACTTGCGTACTACATCAAGCTAATGTCTGTTTTGTTGCATATGCATGTGAAGATTGGAGATGATTGCGCTCTGTTCCTTTTGCCAACAAGTGTTGAACCAAAATCCACACGGCCATTGTACACTTTGCCACCTACAGTTCAAGGAATGGGTAAGATGCAGCCTTTGTAAGCAACGTACGATAGCACAAAAAGCTGTCCTCAGTAAAGCCTAAAGTAACAAAGACTTCTACGAGATTTAATCCGTGGCCTCTGTACTACTAGGCTATAGCTGTGACGTCATTGTTGATAGTGGGTCGGTTGTTATTTGCCGATACAGTCGAGGTCGTTTCGGTCCCAAACATCAAGACAAAGCTTAGCCTGCCTGTGCACGTCCACTATTTCTTTTTCACGGAGGCTAGGCAACGCTCGATCCTCCGTTGGAGAGAAGATGGCCTCTGTACATTTTACTACAATACCATGCGAGCCTAACACAGCCCATAAGGCAAAAGGAAGCACATATTTTTGGAATATTTGTCTCTGTACTAACGACATTGTGTATATACTAGATTTGAAGATTATAGAACTTTTGTGTACGTCTTTATGAGCGTTGTTAAGGTTTTCGTGGGTACATGTACCAGTCGCCCTCTAAGACTCATACTCATTACAATGCAGACAAGCTTCATATACAGCTGTTCCTGTGCATGTCGGCAATTACACTTTTCGTTCAAATATTTAAGTTAAGTAACTCATCTCGTCTAAATACCTTTTGTTTCAGTCACTGAGCAGAAAACGCTGATGTCGTACGAGGTAATTTAATACATTTAGCATCAGGGTTTAGAAATTCAATTGTGGAACAAGTTACTCAGTGTGTCAAGGACATACAGTTAGCTTATTTGATGAGGTGACAGTCTGTCCTAAAGTTTCAAAACACTTTGTTTTTCAGGAATTGAAAAGGGCCTTTGCTCAGGGCGTGAACTTTTGCCGTGAACAGACAAAGATAAATCAGCTGCTGATTGAAGGCTTTAGGGCGGCACAGTGAGTTGAGAGATTCTTTTTTTAATTTTTGTGCTAAGTCATAGTAATTACAGAAAAAGAATGCTCGCACCTCTTGTTCGTCATACGTTCAACTATGAGAAGCTTCCTATGGCATACACATCGCACATACTGATATTACATGATGACAGACAGCCGCATTTGCATTCTGTGATTGTAAAAGTTTCCTATTGTTCAAAGTTCTCAAAAGCTAGTTTCTTTTCCATTCGTTGATAAAATTGTGCTGAAAATGGAGTATTCTAAAATTTGTCTCCATTTTCGTTAGTGTTTTTTTCTACTGTGCCGTCATATGTTCTACTAACATCAATAGTTTTCTTTTTCTCTTCCAACCCTCAGGATTTCATTGTTAGTTCTTAATTCCAAACTTGGACAGCTCAAGTCTGAACTTCTAACTGAATCCAACAAACTGGAGGCAAAAATAGACTTTTTCAACTCCAGGTATCTTGAATGTGCAGTTTTGTAATTGTATTGAGAAAGGCTCGTTAATTACATTGCTTTGCGTCGTACCTTTGCTACTTGACAAAGATTTCGACTGTTTTTTGACAACTTTAATGTTCTTTTGACCACCCTCTGATGGTTTCCGTTTGACCATTGTGAACTCCGTTTCTCTCACTTTTTCCATTTTGGTTGGCAAATTAAAAGAGTAGTCTGAAAGAGGTCAAAAATGTATCACAAACTTTGTCAACGGCAGCGGTGTAGCGCAGTATTTTAATTTATGTCAACAAAATCTTACGTAATAATGGGTTCTTAGGAGCGGGCCATTTGACACTTAAGGGAGGGGAGGTGATTTTGACAAAACCGTATCCTGTAAGCATACCTGGAAAACAAATGTCATACACACACGTCCCGAGAAAAATAAAATTTCTAGTACATGAAAGGGTTTGAAAATTCATGCCTATACCCCCTTAAATGGTCCGCCCCTAGTAATTAATCATGATCTTTTTCTTCAGTTTACAGACTGATTTAGAAATTTATGCTGATAATATCAACCTTGTAAAAAGTGAGTTTGAAATGCCTGGTTAAATATTTAATTGCAAATTTAATAATATGTTGTTTTTCGGTGTGTGAATGAAAACAGTTTAAGTTAAGCTTTTGTTACTTTCAGATGATAAACTGCTCAGAAACTGGAAACGGGCGCAGAAAAAGGTGGAGTCGTTTCAGAATGTAAGGCGAAATGTTAGATAATGTATCTGTACGACAATATTTATGGTATCGAGCTGTGTTATCTAAATATAAATATTTAACTTTTAATAAAAACCTCTTGTAATCAATTAACGTACCAGCCATTATCAATTTATAAAGAACTTCTTTCCGAAAGAGGTCTGTGAAGCTTTGTAGTGGAGTTTCGCGAAGAGAAATCGGCAAACCAAATGTGCCGAGCGCTTGTCGGAGAGGGAGCTTTTGTGTACACCGATTTAGTTCGCTTATCGTTTCCTTTCCCGCCGGTTTTGTTTTGTTTTGTTTTGTTGTTTTTTGTGTGTGTGTGTGTGTGTGGCCTAATATCCAACTATGAAGCCTGATCAAGAAACGCCAAAGAACATTCTACAAAGGAGAGACCCTCTTCAGCCAAGAATGGAACTAGTTCTGCCTAGGAAAAAGTTCTTTGCCGAGAAAAGAGAACCTTCTACCAAGAATGGACACCCCTCTTGTCAGCTGTGAAATCCTTTTACCAAGAAAAGAAAAGAAATGAAATTCTTCTTTCAAAAAACGACATTCTTGTACAAAGAAAGACATTCTTCCACCAGGAAAAGACATTCTTCTACCAAACAAAGATATTCTTGTACAAAGGAAAGACATTCTTCTACTAAGCAAAGATATTCTTGTACAAAGGAAAGACATTCTTCTACTAAGCAAAGATATTCTTGTACAAAGAAAAGACATTCTTTTACTAAGCAAAAATATTCTTGTACAAAGAAAAGACATTCGTCTACCAAGAAAAGAGATTCTTCTACCAATATAAGACATTCTTCTACCGAGAGAAGACATTCCTTTCCCAATAAAAGACATTCTTCTACCAAGAAAAGACATTCTTCTACCAACAAAAGACATTCTTCTACCAAGAAAAGACATTCTTCTACTAAGAAGAGACATTCCTCTTCCAAGAAAGAAAATACTTAGGAAAGACCTTTTCTTCCAAGAAAAGAAGTTCTGTTTTCAAGAAAGGAACCCTCTCCGTTCAAAATGGAACTTCCTTTTCAGAAAAGAACTTTTTGAAACTCTTCTTTCAAGACAAGAATTCGTCTCCGTTATTCATGTTTAATCTTTGTGCTGAAGAACGTATTGAATTTAACACTTGCGTATCTCTTGCGTACAATTGTTCGCAGTAAAATTTTGTTTCGCTTCATCTCTTCTTTACCATGCATAAATCTTAGTCCAACCAGGCTGTTCTGATCCCGTTTAGAATGATGTAACACAACTGAAAGAGTTCACAGCAGCAGTACAGACTAAAGTTGTTGAGCTGCAGAAGAGTCCATACACAAGTGGAACGCAATCGAAATCTAAACCTGATGGAATGAGGTACAACAGTAAGGTTAACTTGACAAACTAACTCTAAGAGACTGACAGTATTTTGATAACGGCCATTTTGGAGTTCCAAAACGGGAACTGAACTGTCCAGCATGGCTCAACACTTGTTAAGGTGGCTGAACACAGTTTTTGATACCTGTGTTTCATTCACCTTTTTCTCTAAAACCCTTGATCCTTCGGTCGCCAAAAATGGCAGCAAGCAAGTTAACAACACAAACTTTGGTTTTTTGATGGTTAAGCTGACGTATGTGCCGTTGCCATGGCCACATGAATAAATATAAACAGGCCTTTAAAATCAGTTTTGTTTATTTGTAGAAAATCTAGTAATTAGATTTTCGTTATAATTTGCATGCAACAAGCTTGTAACGATTCTCACAAGTTAACACCATTTTGCTAATAATTTAACAGAGAGATCTTTAAGTATCCCTTGTTGAAGGTTCGCTGGAGTATCTACAATTTCCTTTGTTAAAGTTCAATTATTTTCAATAGTCCAGTTACTTATTTCCTAAAGTATTTTCGTGCCAAATTTCGTGAAATTCTAATGAGTGGTTCTCGAGAAATAGGCGTATTTCCGAGAGTGCAATTTTTCATTCAAACGCAATTTTTTTACTTACTACCCATGCGCTGCATTTAACTGGGTTCTTTCAGTAACAAAGAAAAAGCTGAGAATTACTGGGTTCTTTGCACCGTTACATATCTTTGTAATGAAAGACTAAAGCCATCAAGACACCGCGTTCAATTATAGAGAAAAATAGCACAGATAGTGCGCGTGTTGGGTAAACAAAATCATCTCTCTATTGACGGCATGTTTCTTTTTTGCAATCCTTGTGCCCGCGCTGAATTGCATCAGCAAAAGCGCGCGCGAAAACTGTGTTCGGCCACCTTAAGCAGTCTTGACGTTTTTCTAATAATCTTGTTTTGAAAACCAGTGAGAAGTTGAAGTTTCGGTAAATGATGTGTCTACACGGTTGTTTTGTTATCGTGTCCACAAACCCGCGATTGTCATTTTTTGATGAAACGTTCCTCTCTATCTTCGCAGGTACGACTGTGCTGTCAAACTTTACGAGAAGCTGAAACAAAGTAAGGTTCTCCATTTAAAATCTGTGTTTGGTATTTGTTTTCGTTCTTTCCTTAAAGGGAAGCATCTTTCATGAGCCAAGTAGTGCAATTTGTCAATATTTTTGTAAGCTAAATACTTCATCCTGATTTAGTGTTAAAAGAAACTTCAGAACACAACTTTATCAACTTGAATAACGTCGATCAATCTTCTATATCTGTACAATTGGACCCTCGTGGAATAACGACCCTTGGGAGAACCGTCATATGACCCGCACGGCCCCGCGCGCTACTTCCTTGGAAAACCATAAGAACAATGGTCCTGTATGAAGCCGCAGGCGTGGAAGTAATTGGGCAAGAAAAAGGCGCACGGCCCTACTAGAAACACTACGGCCGCGAAAAACCTTGTTTTCTTCAATACGAGTGAAGAAAGTGAACATTCTGATAGGGAAATTAACTATCTTGGCGAGCTGTCCGATGCAGAACTACTTCAGTTGCCACTTGCTCCGAAAGCACAGGAAGAAAGTCAAAACTCCTCATTAATGAAGAAGTAAACAAAAGCGGTCATATGATAAAATGCTCATTGACTCAGTTCGGTCGGGCCGGACGAGAAAACATTTGGCTTTCAGTCAGGACGCACGGGCCTCTCTTTGCTTGGTCAGTATTTCATGACCTCGGGCCAAACATTCTCTCCCACTCAGTCAATAAGTACATATTACGTCACTGGACTGTTTCATTGATATTTCATGAAGTCAGTATAGGTTGTGTTTTGGTCACGATTGTTACTTTGAGAACTTTACAGTTAGACAATGAATCGCTAGACACCTAACTTTAACACTACCCAAACTGCACCGACAAGATGTCAAATCCCTGAGTTTAAGAGTTTAATTCCTGAGTTTAAGATAACAGGAGGCTTAGGTTTCATAATGAAAGGATCTTGTGTTTTGAAGGCGACAGACGACCCGCGGACAGTCAGCCAATGGCCACGATTATCTTGCAGATTCTTGCACAGAGAGAGAAACTGCACAGGGATATTTGTACTCAGTTAAGGTAACGTACGTACTTTTGGAAACGTGTACTTGTGACATAAAAAAACTCTAAACTATGAAATAATCTGGAAAATTAGTTACTCAGTGACAGTAAATAGCAGTGCACTTAAGCCAAAATGGGTCACTCGAGAAACGACTGTGAGCCCACCTTAGAACCTCTTAAGGTTAGCTTGATTGTTAGGAAACTTGATCTCTTTCAGTGCAGATTGAGAAGTAATGATTTGTTATTTAGTGCATTGGAGAGGAGCAGGTGAGGGCTCGGCCAGTATCTTGTGTTTTGGACAAGGCACCTCATGGTGCTTCTCTCCACTCACCCATGGCAAAAATACTTGGTGGGACAGGAGGGGGGAAGTAAGTTTGATGGACTAGCATCTCATTAACTAAGTATGAGTAGAGTTACACCTAGTCGCTCCATGCTACAAGAACCGGAGTGAATGTGAGCAGTGGAAAGCTATCTAACCATTCATGTTCTTATCCTCTACATCTAACGGGACATGACTTACAGAAGTTGATTTCTGTTCCTTGTCGGTGAATTTCTTCGCAGTGAAGTGATGTCCTGCAGAAGAGAGATCCGCAAACTCATGTATCGTGTTATACAGGTCAAGGAGAAACTTATCACCAGAGCAGATGAGCTCACAGAGGTGAGTTCGTGTAAACACAGCAGGCACGGAGCAATCAGGAAGGCAGTTTTCATGAGTGTTTATAATTTGTGCGAACCAGCTGTTTGACATGACTGTTGAATCCTGGTAAAGGTTTGTCCAAGATCATCAAACCAACCGAATTAGAAATAGATGGCCTTCACCTTTTATATTTCGTTTGGGGTTTTTGTTTTTCTGGCGTTGATAGAAGACTCGAAACTGGACATTTTGAGCAAATGTTCCGAACGGATTTTCCGGAAATTTACTCAGCGATATGACTTTCAATGACTTTTTTTAATGTTAAGCATCCTTGCGATAGTAGTCAAATTATGGTAGCCAGTGACTGTTAAAACTAGTTAGATGTTTTTCAATTTTGCTGTGGGTTTTACCAACTTCTTAACAGTTGATACTCCAGAGTTTTGAGCGGCTTTTAACAAGAGGAAACGAGTCAAATTTTGGGTGCAGACAAGAGGAAAGAAGCTGATAACTACTGACACAGTTTTCAAACATGACAAGAATTGTTAGTTTTTTTTCGTTGTTGTTTTGTTTTCTCAGATGCAGAAGCAAAGACAAGTTGACCTGTGGAGACTTCTCCAATCAAAGGTTGTTATTTAAGTGTTTTGTGAAGGGTTTTAAAAACATGAACATTAAACCGTTTAATAGCTCCGTGATCGGGTAAGATCGCCACATTTTACGCTGTCACTGGCCCTTTCGAGTGAGCAAGGGGCATCGACCAATCCGAGTGTGCTTTGTATTTTGGTTATTTTGTTGTGGGTGTATGAGCCCACTTATACAGTAAGCACTTCTGATAGAGAAAAGGCAACATCAATTCACGATTTCTTTCTTTTTACTTTAGAGGCAAAGAGAACAGAATCGTTCGTCAAGCAGTCCACATACATCAATTTCTTCGCTCACAACTTCTTGGTATGTTACTATTTGTTCCGAATTTAAGTTTCTGTTCTTGTTTTGGGCAAAATTCGTTAAATCAAATAACTGAATCCTAGACTTTGTGTTTAAGGTTTCGTTGGCAATCATTTTGTGTCTTTTTGTGATCGTAGATGAGACATTAAGAAGCACTTACAATGTACTGCATTTCCTTTTTAGTCTCAGTACACAATCCGTTGTTCTAATTGAGGAGAGCTCTAGATCCTTTGAAAAGTAAGTCAAAACGTAATAATTTAGCTGGGTAATTTAGCCAGGTTTCTGGGAAACCTTTTTCTGAAATTACGTCCATGCAACATAACCAAGCATCGAGGGTGTGCGCAGACGAGCTAAACCTCAAAACGAAAGCGCGGGAAAGTCGCTTGAGCCTTGTCAAGGTTGATCTGTAGTTTGATTGGCCGAGAAGTCAGAACCTTCATCTCAGGCGAACGCGAAAGCGAGGCAAACCGTTTATTATTACTGTCCGTCGTTGCTGGAGGCCGCGTTGCCCATGACAAGCGGCTTTATTTTCATGCAGACAACCTTCTCGCAGGAAAAAAAAATCATTTCAAGTTTCCTGCAACGAGAGTCTAGTCCATAAGCTTACGCATATCATTCAGACGTTATTGCTGCTGTGGTTCCGAAGCCTCATTGACACACCCAAGCTGGGAATGACTTTTGGTGTGAAAAACGTTTTGCTTTTATGTATTCTCACACTTCTACTTTCGTACTTTGCAGGTTTGCCGGATTGATAAACAAATTGAAGATCGATCAGATCAGTGAGACGGAGGTATGGTAATGTTCATGATTTGTTCCGCAGTTAGCTACTATTCCATCCAGGCAGAGTAATAATACGCTTCATGCTACGGGCTGATCATTTTCTTTATTCTCGGTACCTGTTTACTTGACAGTGTGTTGATTACATAGAAGGAAATCAGCTGCTGATCACAAGTGGGCACATGAAAGATTCACATTTTTGTTTTCCTTTTCAGAATTTCGACTGGGAATTCCTTGAGGAAGAAAATAGCTCAACTGACCAACAGAGCGTTTGATGTGCAAAAGAAAGTCTTTCTAAAACGCGGTTGTTGAATATTAAGCGTAGATTTGCTCCTCTTCAGACTGACATAACGTGATGAAAGAATCGAATTAACCTCTTCCAGGCGTTCAGATAGTTGGGGCGCAAGGGCAAGAAAACGGGGGAAGGAAATATAGGACACAGAGGCTTAGTGCGAAGAGCGACCTTGCGCGCCGCGCTTCTCGCGCCGCGCCATTTTTCGCGCTGCGCGCCAACCATTGAGTGAACGCCTGGCAGAGGCAAGACACAATTATGAACACCGCCAAGCTGCTAATGACCGACAATTTCGCAAACTGAATGACTACTCAGGCACTGTCTGTTGAACAAGTTTCATGTTCTAAAACGGAAAAAAAACTGTTTGTACGCAAGGTTTTTATTGTTAAATTGTGAGACATTTTAAGCTACATAGTAGTCGAAGTTTTATTAGTGACTGTGTCATGTCCATATCAAGCTTTCAAGCTTTTTAGTTTTAGATAGTTATGCTGTATAGTCCTTAGTGATTTACCGCAATAAAATTGCTATATGACAATCTAAATTGTCACATCATGACAATTGGTGTCTCTTGCATGGCGTGCCAAACTCCTAACGTCTTTTTCCTGAAATTCTGGACTAGACTGATTTCCACAGTAGAAAGGTTCGGACATTTAGGGCATTTCTTGAAACTTCCATTGCGAGAGCATTTCTTTTTCTCCAATTGGTGCTTGAGGATAAAATTGTTTAGGTGAATATATGGATATAGCCCAAACCTCTTGACACGGGTTGAAAAAAGATTGCAATGGCTGCAGTATAGCTGCATGATGGCTCGGTGGAGGGAACCGGGATGTTGAAAAATCGAACTTATCTTTTTTTTAGTGGAATACACACATAGACAATATTAACTATAAATATTTACAATACTAGCGTTACTGGCTATATAGTCCATGGGCCAGGGCAGGTTCTCGGTACCACTCGTGGGGAGAAAATGTGAGTGATATCTGATGAAAGGTTGTATGAAGGACTTTTCAAATTTACTTGATAGCAATCGTGAAAGAGTAGCTTTCAGTATTTTTTGCGTACTTCTGTTTTTTCAAAAATAGAGCTGCGACATGGAAACGAGGCTCACGTTAAAACAGTTATTTTAAATGCGTTAATAATAATAATTACTACATTGTACAGTAAACAGCTTTTTTAACATAAGGTTAGAAACTAAAATTTATAAGTTGATTTGAAAAAGAAAAACTTAAATGAAACCATGCAGCTCAAACTCGAAAAGCATCATGGGTAACGTCTAAGATGACGGTCTCGCTGCATGGTAAATACTTCAAAGTTCTTACCAAATTTTCGCAGTTTGCGCGCTTTTTATCAAGTAATACAGAGAAACGGGGAACACTTAATATTTTTATGCTTACTGAACAAAATACAAACATTCAAGAGTCTCTGTTCGACTCAAGGAAACTTGACTGCTATGCACAGTTTCAATTGTTGTTTTATTCCTATAGACCAAACTAAACGACCTGCTTTTACAACTTGTATTATTCACTGCTCATATGATAAAAGTCGGCTAATTAGTCCTATTTTAAAAAAAAGGTCATAAAGTCAGAAACTTCAAGGCAGACTACAGGATGCATCAATGGCGGACATTCTTGCCCAATTCCAAGAATAAATCACTCCTGCGCAAATTTATTTCAGAAAAGTGGCAAAATGAGAGGCACAGGGAGAGGTTCGCTGGAAAGACAATTTTCGTAACGACCGAGGATTACTGCTATGAACTCTCCTCAATCGGAGTAACAGTAAGGGAAGAGCTAAGGTCGACGCACGAGGAAGCAGGTATTAGAGTGTTTCTCCATGCAGCACATACAGAGCTGTAGTTATTACGTCTTAAGCTTTTTATTATTATTATCACATGGTTGTGGAGTCTGTAACGCCATTTGACTTTGTTGTAGGATATTCTCTTTCAAACAAGGCAAAGTTGACTCGAACCAGCTACCTCCCTGTGCAGATTGTTTCTGTTGTTTAAGGATGTGCTCCTTGAGAGCAAACTACCAATTGCAAGCAGCTATTTGGAGACGTTTACAGAGCTGCCCTCAAGTCCCTTCAACAGTTGGTCAAGGATGGGTCGAGGAGTACTGCTACTTATCCATCAAATGGATGAATGACAAACCCTCCCCTGCAGTTCTTCTTGAGTTTCTCTCCTGTTTTTGTGCAAGATCATGCAAACTGTCCACGTGCCGACTTGCCTTACAAATGACCTTAAATGCACCGATATGTGCCGCCTTCGTGACTGCAACAGTAGGGAGCTTAAGCAACGACGAGGACGACGCCTAGTAAAAAATGAATTTATATTTTACCAGCGAAATTCACGATTGTCTAGATCTGTTTGGTGCGCCGATGGCTCTAAAAACGTGCTCAAGCTAAATATGCAATGACAGCGTTCAATTCCAAATGGAAATACGAAAAATTAGCCGTCGTCGTCCACGTTCAGTGACGCAGAATTTGGTCATTCCACGTTGTTATTTTGTAGAGGACGGCAAAGAAATGTACAAAAATTTATAACGCACGTGCACAGCCATTGTTCTGGTCATTAAATCTTTTGTTTGGTAACGTTCTTGTTGCCGTGTACGTCGTGCTTTGCTTAAGGTCTCTAATTGTTTTGCTTATTAAACCGTTTGTTTGGTGACGTTCTCGTTGCCGTTGCCGTCGTGGTTTTCTTAAACTCCCTAATAGTACTGACGAGGAGGAGATTCTTGATGAACAATACTCTGATGACGAGGAGGATCAGGAAAATTAAGGCACTTTAAATATCAATGGAAATAATCCGTTAAGCTAGACCAAGAAGGTAGCGTTGAGGAAATTGTGAAACCATTACTCCTCCTCGTAAGTTATGCTTTCTTTTTATGGTAATATTTCCCAATTTCTTATAAATTTTTGGGCTTCTTCAACATAAGGGAGCTTTTCAAAAGTTTCGTTTAATTTCATAATGAGTGCTTTGAATCAAAAGGGAAAATTCTTTCAATTTTCAAACACTTTTGCCACGTTCTGCTTTAGAATGATGGTGTTTTAACAGCGAAGATGGCGGATCCAAAATGGCGGATCCAAGATGGCCGACAGGTATTAATTGAAAACCACTGTCTTGGTAGCAATTGCATCTCATCAAATCATTAGTTGTGAATCACTTATTTTCTCCTGCTTTCGTTTGGTGAAAATTCTGCGAGATCAATGCATTAAAAAAAAATACTTAAAAGTTTTTTTTGTTGAAATTTAAATATTTTTCAGCATTGCCATGGAAACAAAATCCTAAAAGCTCATGTAAGTTTTAACTAAGTGGTTTAAAAACTCATCTGGCAGAAACACCCTTTACGTATGGTTATTGGGCAGGGAAATACTACTTTTAAGTAGTCATTGCTTGTATCCTGATGATTCTGTAGAAATGAGTGACGTCACTTTGTCACGGGATAAATCCTATTAAGCTACTCATTTAGCATTCCTATCATACATAATATGAAACTAGAGTAATTGCAGTTTTCAAAAATATATGGTAGCATTACTCCCCCTGAGTGGTACCGAAATGTTATTTTTTGGGGTC